AAAAAACAACTCCCTTTTCAGAGGCATAGGCCAGTATTGGGTTTTGCAGGCCAACAACGACCTCAATTACTATCCATTCCTAAGGCATGGACCTGTTTTTTCGGACCAATTAGCACGTTTTCTAAGCCATACCAAGGATTTTTTTATTGGGCCACTCTATAAGCCTGGAACTCAAACCCTACTTCAGAGATTGTGAATTGAGAAAGCTTCCTGGATGGGAAGTAAAACATCTTTAAACTTGCAAAACAGAGTCAAGTGTTTGTTTTTTTACTTTTTAAACTTTTTTGGAATGACTATGACCTGGATTACTGAGAATCTTCACCAGCACAAAGAAAAAAAAAGCTTCCAGAGCAGCAGGTATCCTTTAGATATCCATGTGTTTCGGAGTCGGCACCTATGTTGATTAAACAATATTAATCAGGGTGGTATATATGTGTAGCTACAGTTTAGTATTCAGTATTAGTTTGTATCCAAGAACACCTGGAACCAAATGCTTAAGCATGATCATGTATAAAGGATTTGCACCCACCAGAAGAAGGGTAGACAAAATCACCCAGAGCCGACCCCGAGGGTCCAGATACCAAAGGGGTCCAGTTCCTGAGGCACCCGATTCCGAAGACCATAGTCCTGGGCTCCCACAGGGTCACGGTAGTGAGCCCATGGCCTCCGCTGGCCGCCAATCACACCCAAGGTTGATCCGTAGGAGAGTCCCAGGGTCAGGGTGCGCCACTTCCAAGTGGGGACCCTGAAGGTCCAGGAGGCCCAGGCCAAGCCCGGTAGCCAACAGGAATGAGACAGCGCCTACTGAAGTACCCAACCCCGCAACTAGAGAAGCATCAGCGGGCCAGCAAACACAGGCACCTGTCACTGGTATGAACATAAAAAGGAGGTGGAGGCAGGCTCTGCACATACTTGGACGTAGGATGTTCAGTTGGTGTGGCGGGGGAGGCAAACATCCAACCTGACCATTAGACAGAAAAAACTTCACATTCATCTAGTCACATTCACAAAATCCCAACCTTACACCCATATGGACATATAACAAGTGCTCAATGAAGACGGACATAGAGGCAGACACTATATGTTTACAGTCCACATACACAAACTATATTCCGGGTCTGAGGGCCACCCCTCTATGGGGATCAGACCCACAGACCTAGAAGGAGATCTTCATCCCCACCGGGCGGCAAGGGGGGCAGACAAAAAAAAGAAAAAAAAAAGTGGGCCGGAAATGGAGCCATGTTAGGGAGGAGAGCAGCAGAGCAGCCCAGGACCAGCCCCAATCAACACCCCAGGCCCATCCCCAGGAGAGACAACGTCCCCAATGGCATGGGCCACCAGAAGCTACACACCATCCAAAGACTCCAGAGCAGATAGACAACCCGCCGAAGAGCCCAACCTGCTCCTAGCCACCCAAGCACAGACACTCCCAAGTCGACTGCAGATATAGGCCGCATGAAGCGTCAGGACAGACAGAGGGCGGGACCAAACCCTCCACTGTCCCCCACCCAGTACCAGGAACCAATATACCCTCTACTTTTCAATGAAGATAACTTTAAACTAGTCTTAACTTTAGAGAAATACACTCTATGCATCACTAATGTGGTAAATTACTATTCTAGCTCTATTCTATAGAGGCCCATTTCCAGCAACTATCACTCCAGTGTTCTAATGGTACAATGTGTTTGCTCATTGGCTCAGA